AAAAAAAAAAAAAAAAGAAAGAAAAAGAAAAAAGAAAGAAAATAACACATATGTACATACAGGAAATCTGCAAGAGCAGCTGAAGTATTCTCATTTATTTGAGTCTGACTTCAAATACAAAGGATTTGTCTCCCCCCTTACCCCCACCCCCACCCCTGTGCAGTGCTGGGAAAACACATTCTAGGCAGGGGCGTTACCCCTAGCTTCACTCTCATCCTCCTCTCTATTTATTTATTGGTCTTTTTGAGACAGGGTCTCACTATGCAGCTCAGACTGGCCTTGAACTCACTTTGTAGCCCAGGCTGGTCTCAAACTCTTCAACAATCCTCCCGCCTCAGCCTCCCAAGTGTTGGAATTACAAGCATGCACCACCATACCTGGCTCAATTATTTATTTAGGGTCCTGGGGCTTGAACTCGTGGGCCACATCCCTGCTCACAACTCTCAGCTGCTTCTCTTTTTATTCTCAGAATAAAAAAGTCAGAGGCCAGCCAGCTGGAGTGCACACCTGTCATCCGGGTTACCTGGGAGGCTGAGGCAGGAGGATTGAAATTCCCAGGCCAGCCTGAAAATCTCAGTGAGACCCTGTCTCTGAATACAATTTAGTTTTTTGGGTTTTTTGTTGTTGCTTTCAATTTCCTTTTTTTGTTGTGGGCGGGGGACAGTTTGGAGACAGGATCTTGCTATGTAGTTCAGGCTGGTTTTGAACTCACCATGTAGCTCAGGTTGGCCTCCAATTTATGGCAGTCCTCCTGCATCAGCCTCCTGAGTGTGAGGATTATAGGTATGTGCCACCACACCCATCTCAGAGTAAAAGAAAGGCTGGGGTGTAGTTCCATGGTGGAGCCTTTCCTGGTGTACAAGAGCCCCTCAGTATAACCAAAAAAAAAAAAAAAAAAAAAAAAGTGAGAGACCTCAGAGACCATGCCTGTGGCTTCCCGGGCTCCTTGGGGCTCAGCCCCATGCTTGCTCTGCTTCCTTGGTTTTGTCAGTGCTAGGATGAACCAACCGCAGGCCCACCCCCGCCCGACGCCTCTGTGGCTTGCACTCCCTTCCCTGGGTCACCTGCGCCCATGGTGAACCCTTGGTCAAGTCTCAGCAGGCATTTCCTGCACCAGAGTCGCTTCAGGATTGCTTTCTCCTTAGCATTTCTCAGCCCCTGGCATCGGGCTTCATGCATCTTGTCTATAATCATCTCCTCTAGCATTTAGGCCCTGAGAGCGGGCCCCGGAGTCTCTTGGTCACTAATACCTGGCATTCAATAAAGCTTTGTGGTGCTGGGGAGTGGCCCCAGGGACCATGCACATGGGTCTCAGCCTTCTCCTTCCTCCTCCTCTCTCCCTCTCTGATCCCCAAAGCCCAAAGCTTGAGGAAGGGTGAAAACCAGAGCCAGCTGGTGCCTCAGCTCACGACTGTCCATTGTCCTGTAGGTGTCACCTCTTCCTGCCCACCAGCCAGGGCAGCCACTGCCCCTGTGGAGCCATCAGCCCTGTGTCCTGTGAAGTCCACTGTGTCCAGTGGCCTCTAACTCCTGCAAGATGTCCAGCCAGGATTTAAGGTAGGCACTGGGGTGGCTGGGGTGGAGAAGACCTGCTCAACATCACTGGATCCTGAATATGGTGGTGGTGGTGCATGCCTGTAGGCTCCAAACTAGGAGACTGAGGCAGGAGGATCACTAGGAGTCCGAGGCCAGCCTGGGCTGTACAGTGAGGATGCCCTGCCTCAAACAAACAGATAAACAAAAAAACCAGGTCCTGAAGAATAAGCTGAATTGGAGGGGAAAACAAGTGAGCCCTGTTGCACCAAGTTTATGTATGTAGTTTCCCCATAACACACATACACACATGCACACACACATATGCACATGCACGCACATACACATGCACATACACAAATGCATGCATGAGGTCAGGCGTGATGGTACATGCCTGTAATCCCAGGAGGCTGAGGCAGGAGGCTGTGAGTTCCCAGCCTGGGTTACAAAGTGAGTTCAGAACCACCCTGAACCCACCTAGGGAGACTCTGTCTCAAAAAAGTAAATAAATGAAACAAACTGTGTGTGTGTGTGTGTGCGCGCGCGCGCATATGTGCATGTGTGTGATATTGTGAAATGTAGTTGGTAACTGGATGCATTTCCTGACTACAGAATTTACGTCCCAATCCTATTTGTCATCACAAAGTTTCCTGTTTGCTTGTCACGGCTCCTTTGCAAGGACGCATATGTCACCTCCTTTACGCTAGCAGACGCCCTGTCTCCACATATTTTCCCACACCTGCCTCTGGCCTGCTAGATAAGGAAAGTGTACTAGGTTTTAAGGAGACTGAGAAATTTCTTTTGTCTCTATTGTTGTCCTGTGCTTGACAAGGATTAGGGGCCAGTTTATCTAGCTTTACTTTGGTTAGAATTAGATAATCTCAGGGCTGCCCCAGGACATGCTGAGCATGCCAGTAATCCCCGCACTGGGGAGGCTGAAAACAGGAGGATGACTATAAGCCCGAGCTGCGTAGTGAGACCCTGTACCAAATACATAACTGCGGAAAAAAAGAATTAGGTCCTCTCAGCCTGCCCAGCTGGGGGATGCGCGGCACTAATACGCCTTCACCACTGCCAGCCATGATGCCCACCGCCGTGATTATTTTCCTTCATGGATTGGGGGGTACTGGACACAATGGGCAGAAGCCTTTGCCAGTATCAGAACTTCACATAGCAAATATATCTGCCCACACGTGTAATCAATTTAAGAACAAAGATTAGTGGACTTCATAAAAACTACAGTAGTCTTCTATTTATTTTTTGGATTTTTTTATTGGTACATTTTATATATACATAGTGATAGCATTCACCATAGGGGAATTGTATCTTGCTTCAAACAATAGTTTCAGGGCTAGTGAGACGGCTCAGTGGTCTAAAGCACCTACTTAGAACAAGCTTAGCAAAGCTTGGGGACCGGGGTTCAATCCCCCAGCACCACATGCCAGCCAGCCCCGCCCCCTGGTGGACTGAGCTGGCCACACACACACACACACACACACACACATAAATAAAATTAAACAAAAAACAAAAAACAATAGTTTCAAGTAAAGATGGAATAAGGATTTTTTTTTTTTTTTTTTTTTTTTTTTCTGCTCTGAAAGCTGGCTGGAGTTGTGGGAATCAAACCACAGCAACCTGAGCCTGACTGCTTTGTCGAAGCAGCCACTTAAAGAACTGAGCTAAAGGGCAGGGCCCTTCAAAAGTCATTTTAGGAAGCTGATGCTTTTCAAAATAAATTAAAGGAAGACTGTCCTATAATCTTACCAGGGGTCTTCCCTTTTGTCTTCACACAAAAGGGATATAAACTCTTGAGACAATGCCTCTCACAGAACCAGTTCATCCACCTAGCGTGGGTGTATTTATGATGTAATGGTGTATTTGTGAGCCCTGCCTGTGAGTCGAATGACGATGAAGACATTGTGTCACACATCGCTGATAGAACGGGCTGAGGTGGAACCGAGCTCTCTTCGAGCATGTTTTAAGGCAGGCTAAGGGCACTGCAGATCCGTGAAATGCATTGGAAGGCTAAAGACAGTTATAACTGTGGAAACGGTTTGTGGAACTCTCCTCCCACATGCAGTTACCGAATTGTGGAGTATTCCTTTGTTTCCTTTGCTCAAAGCATTGAAGGAGGACATCAGACACTGTTCAGCGAGCCAGGGGCAATGACATCCTAAACCTGCGCTGGCCTACACCTTCGCTTTTACTGCCTCCCCCTTATTCAAAATGTGCTTTTTTCCTCCTGAAAAGCTAGATGTGAACATCCCTGCGGAAGCATCCTCTAGTAGCTTTAACCTAAATTCCTCAGATGTGATTACCCCATTTACAAAGAGCTCCCCTTTGCTCCCCGAACGGCTTTCTAAGGAGATAGCGCTCTAAAGTTAATGCGTGGCACAGCCCGACTGGACTTGGCCTGAACTTCCACTTTTGCAAGGCCAGATTTCGAGAGTCTTCTATTTAAATTGAAGAATTTTTTTAGAAATTGAAAATACTGTCCTCCTACAGGCCTGTTGTGCCTGTAATGTTAAATATGAACGTGGCCACGCGCTCTTGGCTGGGTGTCGCTGGGCTCTCACCAGCTGCTTAGGAGGATGAACTTGGAATTAAACAGGCAGCTGAAAAATCTCAAAGCTTTAGCAGATCAAGAGGTGAAAAATGGCGTTGCCTCCACCAGGGATATCTGGGGAGGATTTTCTCAGGGAGGAGCTCTGTCCTGTGCTGGGGAGATGGCTCAGTAGAATAAGCGCTTTCCTGGCAAGCACAAGGGCCTGCGTTCAATCTCTGGTTCTGCCAAAGAAAAAAGCTCTGTCCTTACACACCGCCCTCACCCCCGAGCAGAAGTTGGCCGGCCAGCGGCGCTTCCTCTCTGGGCTTCATTTCAACGGAGTCCTATCAGCTTGTTAACAAAGATATTTCTATTCTCCAGTGGCGTGGAGACGGCGACCCTTTGGGTGCCGTGATGTTTGGTTCCGTTACTGCTGAAAAACTAAAAACGTTGGTAAATCAGCCAATGTAACCTTCAAAACCTATGAAGGCATGGTGCACGGTTCCTGTCAGGCGGAAATGATGGGTATCAAGTAATCCATTGACAAACTACTACCTCCAGTTTTTGGGGGGTTTTTTAGTACAAGGGATTGAACTCAGGACCCTGCACTTGCCAGGCAGGCGCTTATTCCACTGAGCTATCTCCCCGGCCTACCTCCAGTTGATTGACATCACTGAGATTTCCAGATTAATAGTAAAAAGTTATTTGAAAGTAGAAGTATACCAGCAGTGCTGTAGTACACACTTTTCCCAAAGCCCAATCTTAAAACTTTTCATGTTTGCATTGTTAAAATGTTTTGCAAATACACATCAATTATATACAATAAAGAATGTTTCCTTGTGGGAAATTTATGATCTCTTAAGTTTCTTTTTTTCTTTTCTTTTTTTTTTTTTTGTGGAACCAGGGATTGAACTCAGGCCCTTGCACTTGCCAGGCAAGCGCTTATTCTACTGAGCCATCTCCCCGGCCCCCTCTTAAGTTTCTATACATGTCTTTGTATAATATGATCCAGAATATACTAGTATGAAAATATGTTGTATACTAGTATTAAAATAGCTAGGTTATTTTTCTGAAATATAATTCAGCAAAATAATAAAATACTGCAACCAGATTTTTTATTACATCATTTTAAAGTTACCAGTATACTAATAAAAAGTTGTTCAAGGGTTAGGGAAGTAGCCCAGTGGCACAGTGCCTGCTTAGCAAGCGCAAGGCCCAGAGTTCAATTTCCGGGTGCCCAAAAAGAAAATAGTTAAAAAAAAAAAAAAGATCAAATAAAATCCTTTTGAAAAAAACGGCCAGCCAGATAGCTCAGTGGACTAAAGCGCCTGCTTAGGCAGAGTGAAACAGCTGGGGCTCGATCCCCGGGCTGCTGTGCTGGCCCCGCCCCTGGGCGCACTGAGACAGTGATTGAGCCTGGGCATGGTGGCGTGGGCCTGTAACCCCAGCGTTTGGGGGCTGCAAACAGGAGGATCACTACAAGTCCGATCGACATAGTGAGACCCTGGATATCCTGTACACCTTGTCCTAAACACATAAAAAAGAAAATTGTTCAGGTAAAATGAACAGTTTAGGTATACATGATTTATGTGTGCAGCAACTTAGTCTGTGGATCTGTTCCAAAGTTGCTCAGTCACAGTGCAGTGTCTGTATTTTCTCTCTCTCTCTCTCTCTCTCTCTCTCTCTCTCTCTCTCTCTCTCTCTCTCTCTCTCTCT